CTTCCCGCAGGCCTTGGAGATGGACCGCTGGTCGTACTGCGGGGCGGCGGCGGCTGAGCTGGGGGCGCCTCTGCGCCCCCCTGCCGCCGGCCCCTCCAGGCATCCTCCCAGGGCCAGCCCCGCAGCAGGACCCCGGGAGGCAGGGCGCTACAGGACCCCATCCCGGACATCCCAGCTCAGACGTGATGGGGGTGGGAGACGAGGGCCCAGGCCTCCCCCACAAGGCCAGAGAGCCAGAGGGGCCCCCGCAGCAGAGGGTAGCCCAGGAAAGGGAGCCTAGTCAGGGGGCCTGCCCGCCAGGCTCGCTGGAGTGACCGCAGCCCAGCGCACGTCCCCAGCTGCCCCAGCTGCGGTCAGAGCCCGGACAGGGGCGGGGCGCTCGCCGTCCACCCGGGTCCGGCTCAGCACGCCCGGCAGCAGGGAGGGCCTGGGCCGCGCACCTTCTTGGCCAAAGCCCAGTCCTGGGTCCCGCGACGGATGTTGCTGCGCAGCAGAGCCAGCGTCTCCTTGTTCTTGACGGTCTTCTCCTTCATGGCCTGGACCTGCAGCGCCAGGCATTGCTCTGCGGGCGGGCAGCGGGTCAGGGGCCGGGTGTGGCCGAGGGCCTGGCCGGGATTCCGGGTCTGGGCCCCTGCCCCTGGCCTCGCTGCTCAGCCCTGCTCTTCTGGGCGGCTGTGCTTAGCAGTGGGGGGCCTTGTGTTCCCTTCCAGGCCTGCTGGAAGCAGCTGGGCCCCTTCTTGTCCCCTCTGGCTTTGGGGTCCACAATGCCCACAAATCTCTGTGAAGCCCCCCAGCTTCTCTCCCCACCCCTGCCCCCTGCGTGGTAGGCGCCTGGGATGCCTTCTCCCAGCTCTCTGGGAGGTGGGTGGTAGGGTGACCACCAGCCTGTTTGCCCTCAACTGTCCCTGTGTTAAACCTGAAAGTCCTGCACTCAGAGCCCCTGAGCGGGGCTGGGCTGTGTCCTGGTGGCTCACCCTGGAGCCGGGTGATGGTCTTCAGCTCCCGGATCTCCTCGTCTACACCCGCCTCTTCCCACATCCTCACAGTGGCCCCCAGGCCCTGCCTTCCAACCTCCTCGATGTGCTGGGCCTGCTCAGCAGACCCTCAGTTCAATTGTCCCCGGAATCTCCACCCATTGTGACGGGGGCCAAGGTTCTCAAAGCCCAGGGAACCCTGGAACGCCCGGCCTGCGCCTCCGCCCTCTGCCCCCAGCCAGCCTGAGTGTCCCCTGGACAATTGAGTCTTGTGGCTGCTCTCCACTTGGGCCGGTGGCCAGGGCGTCACCCTTCTACAGGGAGGTGACTTGGAGTGGTTTGGCAGTGCACCCACCCATCCCCTCCAAGGCTCCTAAACTCCTGACCACTCGCTGCCTCACAGGATCTCTTCTCCCACCCACCAACCCCAAGTTCAAACTCCACACCCAGGTGACCTGGGTCATGAGACCCCCAGCCTCGGCCTTCACTACTGCACCTCTCCCTGACCTCTGCCTCCACTTCCCCCGGGAATTCCTGGCTCCAGCTTTAGATTCCTGGCTCCAGGAAGAATCAGTGCCCATCTCTGCACCCCCTGCCCAAGCATCCCCTAGAGCTGTGTGCCCCAAGCACTGGACAGCCTGGGGCTCTGGGGGTGCACACTGGATTTGTTGCTTTTCCAAGTTACGCTGCATGACTTCGCTGGGGCTGTCCTAACAAACGCCACGCACACCTGCTTAAACAACAGACGTTTATTGTCTCATATCCTGGAGGCCGGCCAGCCGAGATCCAGGTGTAAGCAGGGCTGGTTCCTCCCAAGGCCTCTCTCCAGGTCTTGCAGACGGCCGTCCTCTCCCCGTGTCCTTACATGGCCTTTTCCCTGCACCCGTCTGTATCCGCATCACCTCTTATAAGGTCATCATCAGTGAGGTGAGGTCTGGGCCCACCCTCATTTTAACATCACCACCTCTTCAGAGGCCCTGTCTACAAATGCAGTTGTATTCTGAGGCCCTAGGGTTAGGGCTGCAATATGTGAATTTTGGGGGACACACTTCAGCCATAACAATGGTCTTCACCCATTGTCACAGCACCCACTCCTTCTATGATCTCTTACACAGACCCTTTACCTTTCTGACTAGTTTTTAAAAAGTGAGTCCAGTCAGGTCTAAAACTTCCTCTCCCTCCTTCTGAGCCAGGCCTTACGCTCAGGGAGATGGAAGGACCTGCCATATGCTTGGTCTGCCCCTGCCCCCCACCCCCACCAGGGCCCGAGGCAGTGCCTGCCTCCTGTCCCCCAATATTGGTTCTCCCTTCTTTCTGATATAGGAACCCTGAATTTTAGTGGGGCACATGGCTGTGTAAAACAAGGCTGCCTTCCTAGGTGTCTTTCCCAAGTGTACACTGACAGTTCGGGCCAATGCAGTGTAGGCAGAATGGTGAATGAATGCGCCCTCCTTCCTGGTGACTGGGATGAAGACACAATGGCTGGAGCTGGCACAGCTGCCTGGGGCCATGAGGTGGACTTGGAATAGAGGCCGTTACAGCAGTGAATGGACTAACAGGAGCCCGGGCTCCTGTCAGCCCCAGACCACCCACTTGGGCTTTACCATAAAGGAGACTCTGAGTTGCTTATGCCATGGTTATCTTGGGCTTCCTGTCATTGCCTTCCCACCAAGAGTCCTGGTGCATGTAGGTGCTCAGTAGATATTCTTTTGAATGACCAGCTAGGCCAAGAGGCACAGGGGCTGACCTGGCACAAGCAGCGTGGCCCTGAGCCGAGTGCCTTCAGTGTGACTGGGAAGCCAACTCAAAGGATGGTGGACTCCAAGTTTATATAACCTGCCTCTTCCTGTTGGGGTGGGTGAGGTGGGTAGTCTTGCTCATGTTCCGTGAGGACAGAGCTCCAGTAAGCTAGCTCGTACCTCCCTACGCCCCAGGAGAGAAATGACTTCATCTGACAGGTGTGTTTGGGAGGATAGGCAGGTGGGCATAGCCACTTCCTGTCCCTGGTCTCTCGGGAACCAGGTGCCATTGGCTGTACACCTTGTGGTCTGCTCCTCCTGCCAAGTTGTACAGAAACAGACCCCTGCACAGGGAGGCCTCACTGTCTTATAGGACTGGCAGCAGTGTCTAATCCTGGCGTTCAGTGTTAGGAACTGCCTGGCACAGCCTCCAGTATCAGCCACTAAGGTGACATTTGTCTCTCAGCTTCTTCCTGCTTTTGCTTCCCAATCGCTGTGGAACTCAGGTGGGAAAAAGCGAGGCGTTTATTAGTCCCAGAAGCCCGGCGGCATCTGTCACCGATGACTGTGGGGGATACAGGGCCAGAAAGGGAGTGTCAGTGCACCAGGGAGTGCAGAAGTCCTGTCACCACACTCCCCAGAGGGTGCCGGGAGGACCAATGGGGGAGGGGGGCCTGGGGTGTGGAGGTGCTGAGGGCTGTGTTCTAGAACTCTCCGGGCCCAGGTCTTGTGCACCCTGGCTGGAGCTCTCCTAGGGGCGCTGGTCTGAAAGAGACAAACAGAGACAGATCCACATCCTAAAGCTGCTCATGGTCCCTGCACCCATTTTACTGGGGCAAAGACCAAGGCGAGGCTACAACAAGGATGCAGGCAGTGGAGGCCAGGGCTGAGGCCAATCCGCTTGCTGCCTGATGCCTGGCCTCTCAATCTGCCCGTTCTTACTGGGGTGTCCACCTCCTCACTCCTCACTTCCCCCACCCCAGGGCCACCCAACCCCTCCTGGGTCTTCCTCCTGCACCCAGAGCTCTGGAAGTTTCGTCCACTGCACTCATTCCCACTCCAGGAAGTGCAGGCCGAGGGCCCAGGCCAGAGGGGAGAGGCCCTGTCCAGCCTACACCTCTGGCCCCAGGTGTGCCTGCCTAGAACTCTGGGCAGCAGAGGCAAAGCTTCTGCTTCTCACTGCCCCTGGGCCTCTCACCTGTGCCCACGTCTGTGGGGAGCTTCCCGGTCTCCAGGAAGAGCCAGAGGTTGCTGCACTTCTGCGTCTCCACTCGCGTCACCCAGTAGCTGGCCACTGAGCCTGCGACTGGGGAACAAAGCAGGGGCGCGGGGGTGGGCTTGGGCAGGGCCCCCTCCAGGAACTGGGGCCCCACCCCAGGAGTCAGGGATGCTTGGAACACAGCCCCCCACAAACACACACCCCTAGAGGGAACCCATCCCCACCGAAGAGCCAGTGACCTCTGGCAACATGGGAGCACCTCAGGGGCCCCAGGCACTGACCCTGGAGCGCTCACCCACGGCCACCAGCACGTTCCACTGGAAGGGATACTTAAACCTCCTCTGTGCGGACATCTGCAGGCCGAGGGTCACACCGGTGCCTGCCCGGAGACAGTCCGTCAGCCTGCCCGCACCTGCGCCGGGCCCCCCGCACCTGCGCGCGGCCCCCAGCACCTGCGCC